TGAGCGCCCCACTGTTCCTCACTCATGTGCTCCTCCCTCAACAAGACGGCAGAGCCACGTGAACCGGGAAGAGAAGGGAAGAAAGGAATTAGCATCAGCGGCGTGCTTGGCACACAGTAAGTGATCAAAAGAGTGGGTTCATTTGTTGTTTAAGTCCCAGAACTTGACTCCATGAGGCCTCAAATCAAGCTTCCCAGAAGGGAAGCAGAGACTCCCTGTCTCTGTGGTCCTAAGGTGGAGTTCTGTGGTAAGCAAATGCCTACCGCTCTGAAGGTGTACCAGACACTGACAGGCGCCCCTCACTGCACAGGCGCAGCACAGGTAACAGTGAGCTCTGGGGAAAGCTTGGGGATCACGGGAAGATGGTTCAAGCCGGTGCCTACAAGGGAAATATCTGCCCTCTACACCCGTGTGGCTGAAAACACCATGGGATGGAATGAGGACCACGGAACTGTCGCGGGGAAGCCAACAGCCCTGTCCCTGGTGACAGGGGTTTGAACTGATGTGCAGGTAGCCTGATCCAGATGAAACACTGGCTGCTCTTCCAGAGAACCAGAGTTCCATCCCCTGCACACACGGGACAGCTGACAGCGGCCTGAGATTCCAGATCCTGTCTTCCCTCTATTCCGTCTCCCTTCCTCCTTCCATGTGTCCCCCTCTGTCTTTAGAGGTCCTTACACACTCACACAGTCTTCCTTTCTTTTTAGGAATCGCAGGACCAGGAGCTTTGACTAGATCCCAGCCCCCACTGGGTGTCTCGAACCAAGCCTCCCGCCTGCCCTGACCTCTGCCCTGCAAGTGTGGCAGGTGCTGCCCGGGGCTCCCTGGGTGAAGTCTGTGCAGACAGTTCTCCTCACTCACAGCACCCATCATCTGTGACTGTGGGGCAGCCAGGATAAGAACGCCCTGCAGCAGGGGACCCGTGTGTGTGTGTATGTGTGTGTGTGTGTGTGTGTGTGTGTGTGTCTGTGTGTCTGTGTCTGTGTCTGTCTGTCTGTCCGTCTGTCTCCCTGGCTTTTAATAACAAAAGCCACAATTTAGGTAAAAAAAAATCAAATGACAAAGACAGAAACAGAACAAATGGTTATTTTTGTTCCTGCATTAAAGGTATAACACACATAAATTACTTGGCGTGTATATGCATGCTGGGGAAATGGCTCAGAAGCTAAGAGTGCTTACCATGTGAGCAGGACCTGAGTTCAAATCCCAATAGATGTGGACGCCCATGAGCTTGTAACGCTATTGCTGCGTGAGGTGGAGGCAGGAGAGCTGCTGGAGCTTCTAAGTTGTTAGTCTAGATGCAGGTCCAGTGAGGGACTCTGCCTCAAGGAGGTAAGATGGCAACAGACCAGGGCACCCGGCACCTCCTCAGGCCTCTCTTGCATGGGTATGTAAACCTACACACACACTTGGGGATACATCACATGCATACAAATACTGCAGGAAGGGCAAAAAATATTCAATCTTTTCTTTCCTTGATGAAATGACCGAAAGACTAGACTTCCTGCTTCCTGGAAGCCACATAACATGATTGAGTCTTTAGACAAAGTGTGGTCCGAAAGCTGGAGGAGGCCGAGTAGAGGAGAACCAAGGTAGGGGACCAGAGGTGGCTCATCCCAGAACCAGAAACGTATGAGGGGCTCCTGGGGGGCTTTCAGCAGGGTGCCCAGAGGACATCTTCTCTAACCATCCCCACATCTCTCCCAGGACCTGAACTCCAGTCAGCAGCTGCTGCCTCCACAATGACGTATTTTCCACCTCCTTTATAGACCAAGGAACACAGGGATGAAATCACAGCAAACAAGACATGAAGTGCCTTTTTTTTATGTCATGGGAAAGGTGTGGAAGTGAAGGCAGAATTTATGCCTCAATCTAAGCCCTTTTGAAAAGAAAGCGCTCTCCTGACGTTACAATGGGTCTGGGATGGAGGTCCTGGGTTTCATCTCTAGCATTAAAAATATTCATTTTAAGAAAGAAAAATGAAACAGAGGCCATATCCAGACAACAAGCATCCTGATGTGTTGCGACAGCCTAAACTCTTTCCAGGAATCCTGTCCTCATTTTCCAATTAGATACCAAGAATTGAGCATAGGTGGGCCAGGTCTCAGGTAATAATATCAGGGTCTGGCATTGGCTGAGTAGTTTCTAGGGGTCATGTGCTAAATTAAGTAATATGCACAGCCTCATTGGATTTTCATAGTAACCCTAGGCCTGGGCCAGCTTTGCAAACAAGGACACTGAGGCTTGGAGAAGGCTTGTCATATAGCTGGAAATGGACTAACAAGGATTTCAACCTTGGTCTAGAGACTCCAGATCCCATGCTCTTTCCACAATGTCCTGTTGTATACACCGGAAGTCATATTTTAACACCTATCTGTGATTGACAGCATCCCTGAAATGTACTGTTCGTTAAGTCACCTGAAGACTGGATGTGTGATAGCTCATGTTTCCCTGGCCGGCTCTTCCCATGGTCTCTACCTGCCTGTGAGAGATGCAACCATGACATGGTAAGAGATGAAACCATGCTAACTAGACCTCAAATGAATCCCAGAGACAAAAGCACCTTTCTTATCCACAGTAAAGACAGGAGTTCTTTCTTCACAGTCCTGCTTTTTTCAGCAGTAAATTCAACTATTATCTCCATGGTTTGAAGGGTCATTGTGACATTTGGGGGGAAATATCATCCCTTGCTTTGGCTAAAATGGTGTGGGCGTCACTGGCCATTCTTTCCATCATAAAGGAAAAAAGAGGAGTTGAGATACTTTGGTGACTAAGCCTGGCACTTGGGCACAATGGATTACCAAAGGTTGTCTGCAGTACCCTCTGCCGCCCCCTCACCATACCCTTACCCCTGGCTGGAGTGGGTAATAATGTAGGCAGGGGATATTTTAGGGCTGGCCAGGAGATGGCTCAGTGGACAAAGGTACATGCCACAAGAGTCTAGTGACCTGGGTTAGAGCTCCCGAATACATATGAAAGATAGAAAGAGACAAGGAACTCCCACAGAATTGTCCTCTGGCCTTCACACATCCACCACGGTGCACAGACACCCCATCTCCCCAGAATAATAAAAGATAAACTAAAAGTACATTTTAAAGTGCAATTAATAGGACAGGGCCTGGTGGCGCACACCTTTAATCCCGGCACTCAGGAGGCAGAGGCCGGTGGATCTCTGTGTGTTCAAGGCCAGCCTGGTCTACAGAGTGAATTGTAGACCAATGAGGATTACACAGTGAGATCCTGTCTCAAAATAAAACAAAATAAGATACTTTTCAAAGATGCAGTTCTCCCCTCCCCCATCCACTAGGGATATCTTCCAAGACCCCAGTGCAAGCCTAGAATCACAGACAGTATCTGCCTGTACTTCCCCCTCCCCACATGCACACCTATGTTAAAGTTTGATTTATAATTATAAATTAGGCACAGTAGGAGCTTAACAGCAATAAAAAGAAATAAGTGAAAAATACAGTGAAAAAACCTATTTTAAACTTTAGTTGTTTTTGTTGTTGTTGTTTTTTTTTTTTTAACGACAGCTTCCACTTAGTATTTTTAGAAAGCAGAGAACACTGTGTAACAAGCTCACAAGGCAGAGCCACTGTGCACCTTGCCAAGCCGGCTGCTGGGGCTCAGAAAGTCACTGGCCACGGCTGTGTGGAGAGTCCGCTGTGCCTTCAGCCCATTGCTCTCCCTTTCACCTTGTGAGCACAGTCCTTTCTCTCTGGGTTTCGGGCATTGCACTAATGATGCATTTCACCGTCCTGGCAAAGTGACGATGTCTAGTGGGTATTTAAAAGGACCTCTCCTATCACTCCCACACTGTGGACTCACTGACAATCTCTAGGATGCTTGCGCCCAAGACAAAACAGAGACTTGGCCATGCCAAGATTTCAGGCCAGAGACAGACAGCTTCTATGGCCGGGCTGACCTGGTAGCAACGCTGTCTTCATTAGTTCAGATGGGATTTTCCTTCATGTTTCTCACTTGCTGAAATTTCCCATTTATTTATTTGCTTGTATCAAATTTATGTCCTAGAGAAGAGGGGCAGCTTGTTTTGTTAAGAATTGTGTCTAACAAAGTGTCAGATACACAGGAGACATGTGATTTTCTTGAATGAGTTGGTAAGTGAGTGAATGCCAGGTTGTCCTGTTGGAGACCAATGTTCAACCATCATTCAGTCATTGGTGTGATCTAAACTCCTCGTCCACGCAGAGCTCAGCCTCCTGCAAGAGCACTTTCTCTCATTCCAAGAAAACAGTCCACGATTCCCCACACTCATGCACTCACTCTTCTCCCACCAAGAGGGTGTCAGATCCTACCCTGTTGCTTTGGGGTAAGACCGTACTGGAGGCCGACCAAGATGGTGGCCCGGGAGAGGAAGCAAACTTCCCTCACTTTGGCCTTCCTGTTACCGCCACCAGCAGCAGTGACCGCACCTGTTTCATCCCACAGGGGGACCATGCAGAGTCCTGGTAACATTTAAGTGGCTAATGGTGACATGCCTGTTATGGGGCTCACACCGGTGTCACCTGATATCATCACCTTTGCCTCTGAATTCTAAAACGACTCTTCTAAGATGACTCTCAGCGCATTCAGTTTCTCTTGAAACATACACTCTGAAATCCTTGACAGCAGGGTCTGTGGCCTTGATGTCCCCGGGGTCTGCCACCCAACTGAGACTGAGTGAAACCCAAAGGGCTCTTATACTTTCACCTGATAGCTCCCAATAATCAGTCTTTGAGTTCATTCTGTCTCGGTGAAACCCTTATCAAACTACAAGTCTCTAAGGAGAGGGGGAGGGTGAAAGCTGTGGCAGAGATTTTGCCCACCTTTTCCATCTGGAAGAGTTTCGGGACCCCGAGAGGGGCAGCCGAAGAGGGTCCCAAGAGACCTGTAGAACATGGAGGGTGGGTGGTCAGGGGCCTGAGGAAGTGAAGCTCTGACCTCCCAGCATTCTGGTTTGTGACATCATCACTTTAGATCTCAGCTCTGTCACTGACAGCTCAGAAGGCATTGCAGCTTAGAACCATGGGGACCTAAAGGGACCGCCACTCTTCACAGCCCCACATCCCTTCCCCTTCATGGTTCACCCTCCTCCCTGCCTCCTGCATGCAGGTCTCATGCATGAGGCATGGGTGAGGACCCATGTCCCTGAAGCTGCTTTACAGACAAAAGTACCTGTACGGTGTCACAAACTGTGTGTGTCGTCAGACACATGGACACAGTATGTCATTGAGCAGTACAATGTTAGCTAGAACATAGCCAGTTGGTGTCTTTTTGAGACAATCTATTGTAAGTATACATGACTTGTTGAGTATTTCCTGATTAGCCCAGGCTGGCCTCAGACTCCCAGCCATCCTCTTGACTATGCCCCTGGAGTGCTGGAATTACAGGGCAGGCCATACTCAAATGCAGACATTTTTGTATCTGCTCCATATTTGTGGGCTGGTCAACAGAGCCTCAAACAAATGGGAAGGCTCTTTTGCCCAGAGTGTCAGCAGGGGAGTTGGAGGTGCAAGAAAGGAGCCAGAGTGTGGTTTTCCTTTGACGGTGGAACGCTGGCTTGTGTGTTCCTCTCTAGCACATGTCAGATCCTCTGCTGCTGCCTTCAACATCTGGAAACCCCTGTTGATACCGAATACAGCTCCGGTAAAACCTAGTGCCTTTGTGTAAGCCTTTCAGGATTCGGGGAACTGGGAGGCGACAAGAATGCACCTTAGGCTGACATCGAGAAAGGAAATTGAGGATCTTTTAAAACGAGTCATTCAAGGTTCCTGACTTAAATTCCCACGTGGTTGAGAATATTACTGCTTTGGGGAGACAGTCACTGTGCGACACAGTTCAGACAGTGCAGACCTAGCCTCGCATATTGCTTCCTGGACCCCGTAGGAAAGCCGAATCTGGAAGAGAGCTGGATCTAACTTGTTAGAGAATCCCAGTCTGAACTGTCTGCCGGTCTTTTTGCAGGCGGAGACGCAGTCTGGGAAGGGCTTGGTTGATCTAAAGTCAAGCTACAAGTGGCAGCGTTAGAATGGTAACTCAAGCGTTTGGCCGCCTGAAGGATGCATGTGAGAGGTAGGGAAATGTCAGAAAGGGCATCCTCTCCACCTCTTAGATGTCAGGTTTCAGATCCCATGTGAGGAGCGGGATGAGAAAATTCCTCCTGGGCGACCCACGGGTCGTGGGGAAGAAAAGCCAGAACCTTTCACGCTGGCTAGCCTGTGGCTCTTGGGAAGGCGGGCTTACTGCCCAGCTGGCGCCTCACTCAGGACCAGGAGGGAGGCTGGAAGAGGACCCGGAGAGGCGGGGTGGGAGCAAGGGTGCACAAGCCGGCTGAGAAAAGGTGTAGCTGCTGGAGAGAAATTAGAGACTTTGGCCCCTCTGGGAAGCAGGACGGTCCAGCACTCACACAGCGCCGGGGAGGCCCCAAACAAACTCCTCTCCCTCCTTGCTCTCGGCCCTTTGTTGTCCGCCTCTGGCTCCCGCTCATGCCCTCGGGTCCCCCGCCCCCCTGAAGTCACCCCAACTGCACTCATAATATTTTGCTTTGCGCCGGGTCTGTTTTCCACCACCAACTTCCAGCAGTCTCCATGGCGACGAGCAGGGGGTAGGGGGTGGGGGCGGCGGCTGTTCAGATCCCAGGCCTGAGCTGCGGAGCAGCCCTGGCTAACTTTTCCGGGTCTCTGGGCACCGCGCTGGGAAAGTGCGCTATCCCGGGCCCTCCTTGGATAATCGTGTAATCGCGAGCCCGCAGGCCCGTGGAGTCAGGCCTGTGTACTGGGGCCGCGTGGCCCTGGACTGCAATCGCGGGAATCTGGAATCCGGGGACCACGCGACATTCACTTGACTCTGCTGCCAAGCTCAGATGCTAGCAGGTGGCAAGAGTGGAACCAAGCAAGTCCACCCCTCCGGCCACACACACACACACACACACACACACACACACACACACACACACACACAAACCCACGCACGTCTGGACAAACTAGTCCAGGTTCAGCACAGTAGCAAGGCTTATATCTCCCGCTGCTTCCTGCTCTGAGCCAAGAACTGGCTCTCAGGGCTACACAAGGCTACTACTTACCCAGAGCATCGTGGCCAGTGGCCTGTCTCTCTGGGGACTCTCTACCCCGTGGGCAAAAACCTAAGGCCCCACGATGTCTCACTTTAGGGCCCACGAAACTAGGCTGGACCTAGTACCAGGTCACCCTCTCTGCAGAGCAGCAGCGTGTCTTCCCACCAGTGGGCCCCAGGCATTCAGATCCGATTCGAGAATCTTTGACGACCCAGTTCTGAGTTTTGGAGGCGCGGGGTGGGGGAAAAACTTGGTAGAGTTAGAAGCTTCCAGTTGGAGCGCCACCATGCACCTCTTTAACGAGCCATCCCGTTTAAGAAGAAACAACCCTTTTGACGCATAGGCGACCAACCTGCCCCAGCCCCACTTTGCACAAGGTCTTGATGACTGACAATTCTATCCACTTTTCCTTGCTCGTTCTCGAATTTCTAAGTAAGGAGCAGCTAGCTGAACAGCGCTGCTCTGTGTAGGGGCATCTGGAATCATACCCGAACCGCCAAGAACAAGCAGCCACCTCCAGCGGCCCTCGTAGAGATAGATGAGGGCCAAACCGGCCTAGGAACCCACTTTGAGGCCGGGTGAGTCGAGCGCGCTGGCGCTAACTGCAAAACAGTCCCGACGCACCCGCAAATCGGTGCATCCTGAGCGCACCGGCTGCCTTTGCAGCCCGGTGGAGCTTGCCGAAGCCGCCAGAGTCGCGTCCTAAAGGGGCTTTGCTTTGTCGTGTAGAGAAATCAGAGAGCCGAGGACCCGGGAGGCGCGCGCCGGCTCCGGGGGCCTCCCCCGACAGGGCCATTGTCTTGGCCCCACACTTGTGGTGTATTTTGGAAAAACTCAAGGAATATATTACCAGCTCGATGCGCGGAACAAAGGGGTAAGTTTCCGCAGGTCACGCTGAAGTGGGCCCAAAGCAGGCCACTAGAGCCCCGGCCCCAGCAAAACCGTTCTCCCATGCCCGAGGCACTTTGCGGGGATTTTCCTTTTAAAAGACAGAGACTGTAGCTTCGGCTTGCCGGCCCCCTCTGAACATGGATGCTCCGGACTTCGCTCCAGTAACTGCTGTGAGCCTGTTGTTAGAGCCCGTTAAGAATGAAATAACTGATTTCGTGTTTCTAGCTGAGCGCAACCTTACCCTCGGGAACAGAATCGAACTGCCCAGTGGAGCGCGGGGCTCTGCACGCCCAGGGAGGGGAATGAACCTTTTACATAACAAGAGAAACCCAGAAGAAAGACTAATTGGATTAATTCTCTGGAAGGGAGGCGAAAGAAGGCTCCTGCATGGGACCTCGCCGCGCCGCACTTCGCTTGTCCGGAGTTTACATGTGAAATGTCACCTGGTGCGCCCGGAATGACTTCTCAATTGCGGCCATTAACTAAAACTTTTGATTTTGAGTTCGGGGGTGTGATCTTAAGTATGAGAGGGGAGCGGGAAGAGGGAGGCACTGGGGCTTCATTACCCATTGGGGTGTTTGAAGTTGGGGTGAAGGTGGCCAGTGTCCCACAACCACCTAATAATCCGTGATTAAAAATAGAACGTCTCCACAGTTCTACAGCACTCTGCATCAAGCAAGGACTCTAGTACTGTGGAAGGACCGATTAAAAGCCCAGCTGGGACATGCCTGATGTAGGGTATGAGGAAGGCCCCGAGATCTTGTATGGACCCTTGAAAATCCTCAGCCACTAATTCTGTGTAAATGGGTGTAGTCTGGTTAAATACATTCACTTTTAATGTTGTAGCTCTTAGGAGGCTTTCCTTGAAATATATATATATATTGAAGTAAAGCTTTGCTCTTCCCTCTCCCTCTGGGACCAGCGTTGCTGGGGTGTGGAGAAGATCCCAACAGGGCCTGAGGGTCTGCGCAGCCGGGTGCGCTCCCCAGGCAAGATCGCTTCTTGCCTCCGTGTGTTGCAGATTAGCAGGACTTTGGAGGCTCAGGCTTTAACCACTCTCTGGGGGCTCACAGCCACCCCCGGGGAACGCGAGGGCCCGACTGGCTCAGAGACAGAAAAGTATCCTGGAATGCCGCTGATACCCCTGGGTCCTCGATCTCGGCCACCAGGTCTGCAATGTAGGCGAGGAGAGGCCTGGAACCTTCCTCCCAGAACCGAAGAACCACGTCTGGGAAGCTATCTAGATCGCTTAGCCCATCACACATCTTTTTGCGACCTGCTTAGGGGTGGTGGAGTGGGCAGAGCTGTCTGGGGTGTTTATTTGCAAGTCAGTTATGTGCGTCCGGGCACAGCTGAGGCCAGCAGGCACTTGTTGCTCGGTTGCGTTGCCCTCACATTCTCCCAGGTTTCGCTCAAACTGCCGCCTCTGTCCAGGCTGCCTCTTATCACCCCCAAGAAACTCCACAGCTGCGGCGCAGCGGGGATCGGAGTGGCTTGGCGGAGAGACTGGGCCCAGGGGAGGGGAGGAAACTTTGAGAACTTCTACAAGGAAAGGATATAGGGAAAGTAATTGAGATTTAGAAGTGTGGCGGGTCCCCAAAGACGCTAGGCATAGACGCTAACGGGTCGACTGGAGAATGCACGGAGATGCTGGGTGTTTTCGTTGTAAGAGATCCCGTGTCTTCCCTTCTGCTGTGAACCATGGCGACCCTAGTGCCTGATGTCCACCACACAACCCTCTAACCCAAGCGCAGTTCGCAGAACTCAATGCCAGAACTCAGGCCTCTTCTGATGCTTTGTATTCGGCTTTCCCCCCAACTAGGTTACAGCCTCCTTGTGGAGACAACCGCTAGTGGGTTTCCTCTCCGCGCCCGGGAGGCTACAGTCCTGGGCTCCCAGCTCTCACAGTCCAAAGCTACGAATGCCCCAGGACCACCGGGTTCGCCGCCGCCACTCCCTCCAGCTGAGCGGCTCCTGCAGCAAGAGCCTCCACCTCCCGCGCGCGGTGAGACATGGTCGCCCTCCCCCGCCTTTGGAGCGTTCCCGGGCCTCACCCCAGACCCTGAGCACACCACTACCCTGCCCAAAGCCAGGGCAGCCGCGGGGCCCGAGAGGAGGAGGCTGGCTCGCAAAGTTCCTCCAAGCAGCAGGCACCTCGAGCTCGCCGCGAGCCAGAGAGCATCTTTATGCAACTTTATGTCCAAGTGAAAGCGCGCTCTGCAGCGTGCGCGCACGCGCACACGCGCATTTACACGCACACACACACTTCCATGCATCCACTTACACACTTAGCGCTGGACCGAAAACTTCTTGCACGCCTTCTCTCCTGGGATCTCACTGTCAAGTTGACCCGCATGAACTTTCTGCAGCTCTTTCTGAAGTCCCCCGGTCCCTGCTCCTTTCCTCCCAATCTCTCCCCCCAAGTCCCACCAGGACTAACCTGTGGAATCCATGTCGGGTTCCTCCAGTAACCCACAATGCATGCTCTTCCCATGGACAGCACAGACGCCCCCCAAAAGTCCTGATATTTGGGGATCCCCTGTGCTAGAGATGCCCAGGGAGGAAGGGAGGGAAGGAGGGCGGAAGAAATGGGTAGCAAGAGAGAGAGGGAGGCGATGGGTGAGAGGGCAAAAGGATAAAGGGGGAAAAGAAAGAACCAGACGAAAGAAAAGAGAAGGAGGCAAAGAAGCGAGGGAAGGAGGCGAGCTGGAGCAGAGGGAGAGAGCAAGCGAGCTAGCGAGCGAGGGGACACTCAGTAATCCAGTCGGGCAAAGCTAAACCCGTCAAAATGTTTGCGGATGTTTCATGGGAAAAAACATCATTTTATAGGAGCCCCGATGGGAGCAATGTCATTGATAGGCCAGCGGGCCTGATGAATGGCCGCTCGTCAGATGGGGCCGTGGCGAGGCGCACTGTGAAGCCCATTGTGGGCCTGTTTTGAATAAGAAAAGCCGCCTCCGAAAAGGGGGGCTCAGAGCGACGCAATCCCAGCCCTCCGACTTCCCCCTTCTATTATAGCATTAGCAACGTTTTTCTTATTTAAAGTTCCAGAGGCCTTCTCCAGCCTCAGCCCGGCACTCATTATAGGCGAAATCAAAATTGGCTTAGATCTGCCCCCCTCTCCAGCCCTCCCGCGCCCGGGCCCCGCGCGGTGCAGCCATGGAGGGGGTTGCAGAAGGTGCCCGAGCCCTAGGAGTCTCCTGTGCGGACACGAGTGGGCCCAACTCCCGTTTTCTCTCCCCTGGAGACAGGTCCCGTTTCCGTCTTGAGTTAGATTTTGAGGTGGGGCCCTGGAGCAATGCAGAGGGAGTACGTCTTGAGTTTCTTCCACGCAGATCCGCGGACATGCGTGGGAGTAGAGGGTGTGGAAGGGGAAACTGAAGCCTTAGGTTCCCGTCTCCAGTCTGAGAGACAAGAAGGGCGCTTGGCAGCAAGGGGTGAGGGGCTGGCTCGCCTTCTCCAGAACTTTTGTACCCCTTGTCTCTCGCCCTACGGGTGGCTCCAGGTCTCCGTGCCTCGCTGTCTCGGTCTCCGTTTCTCCTTTGGCTGCGTGTCTCTTTGTCTCTCCCTAGGACCACGTCCCTCTGGATCTCTGGGACCCCCACCCCACCCCCCTCGCCTCTTCCCATAACCCTGTATGTCAGTCTGTCTGCGTCCGGGTCCCTCCCTCTTCCCATGTCCCCCGGCTCCCCCCTCCGCCACCCTCTCGGTCCCCCACAGCCCGCAGCGGAGTTGGTGAGAAGCCCCGGCGTCCGAGTTGGGGACGCGGCTTTCCCAGGGACCCCTCCCCGGTGCAGATGAAAGTGCGGGAGGAGGGGGCCGGGGCTGGCGGACGGCAAGTGGGGGGGGGGCTCCCGCCGCCCCGGGAAAGTGGCCGCTCGCGGGCCGGCCGCGCTGTGATTAGAATATGAATGGGCTCGGCGGGCGGAAGAGAAAGGCGGATTACCCCGCTGCTTTGACCATGGACAGAGGCAGCGCCGGCGGCGCAGGGGCGGATCGCCGGGGTCCCTCCCGCCGCGCCGGGTGCGCTTCTTGCCCGCGACCCCGGGCCTGCCCACCGCGGGCCTCCGGGAAGCCCCCGAGCAGCGCCGAGTGGGACAATGGTGGGAGGGGGCAAGGGACCAGCACGTGCCGCGTTAAGGTCACGGGGTGCCGGGAAGGGGCAGCCCCGAGTGCCAAGCTGAAGGTTGCTCTGGGTTCGAATCCCGACTCTGAAAATTTTGTCGTCTTTCGGGGCCTCAGCTTCCTGTCTGTGAAATGGGATAACGCCGTTTTTTCTCGTTGCTTTCCCCGGGCCCTGACTGACCTCCATGGGTAATCGCGCCTTCTTGCTCAGGCCGCTGCTGGGTTCTAACCCGGGTCATGTCTAGAGAATTTGATCACAGCCTCACACACCGCCTTGTCGTGCCCAGAAGCCCTCCAACCCCACCCCCACCCCCGGCACACCCTTTCCCTCTGTAGTGGAGAATGAAAGGCTTTGGCAGCCGAAGGGGTTGAGTACAATCCCCTCATACTCCGTGGGGTCGAAGTCAGAGATCGAATGGCCAGGTCTATCTCTGGAAGCCTCACTGGCCGGTGGACAAAATGCTAGGGTGCGCATTCAGGGCGGAGGCGCGCCGCGCGCATCAGTGACAGGGAGGATCCTGTCTTCAGGGAGGAGAGCTGCACCATCGGGAGTGCTTGGGGTCCTCTGGGGAGTCCTTGACCACCGAAACTGTGGGGCAGAGATGGTCTGTGAGTGGGTGAGATTGGCACGCAGCTGTCGCTAGCTAGATTACACTCATTACGCCAAGTAGAGGGGTGGGCTAGGGAGGGCTGGGAGGTCCAGGCTGGTGCTGGACAGGCACAACTCAGGCTGGCCCTCCTCATCCCTCGCCTGCCCTGCTTGGCCTGAGAGGGGTGAGGAGAGGGAGACAGCATGGCACCCATTAGGTTGTGTAGCATGCCTTTTACGTGGTGGAGTGGGCAGATGTCAAAGCCTTGTGTCACTTAAAAAAATTGCTATCTTTCACGGCAAGTCAGATAAAAATGTCAAAACAATGCTACCTAGGGGCTGACCATAACGGCGGCGTGTTTGTGGAAACTCACTCCACAGAGCACACAGCGGTGACAGCTTGTGCAGTCTCCTGAAACTTTGTCATCCTTCAACAGAAAAGGTTTAGTTGACAGAGCTCCGTGTCCCCATCTCATTTAACGCCACTTTGCAAGGAGCACACACTGTTGTTCCCTCTCTAGGGAGGGCAGCTGGAGGCCGGGGCACCAGGCGGGGCAACCCCAATGGCCACGGTAACACACACCCCTAGGCTCTAGAACACAGCAGAGGAGGGCAGTGGTGGGGGTGGGAATACCCGATAAGGGTGAGTTAACCAGGCTTGAGGCTTGAGTTGACAGACAGAGACAAGGGCCAATAGGAGCGCCTGGCTGCTGTGCCAAGGCCTGGAGCATGGAACCGCGGAGGCGTGATTGGGGGGGGGGGGGGCTTTCACTGGAGGCTGTGTAAAGAAATGGAGCTTGCAGTGCTGAGCATCCAGGACCAGAACTGCATATTGGGAAGATCACAGCGACCACGCCGTGGCGGGGGACAGAGAGGAGCTGGTTGCCGGAGCGGGTGGTGCCATGGCTAAAAGCTGGTGCTGGTTGACGCTGGCACACGGCAGTTGGGGCGGGCTCAGGCGACTCTGAAGAGGAACAAGTACTGTCGGCCCTGATGCTGATTAACTGTGGCCAGAGAGAACGGGAGGAGCCTTGCATTCGCCAGGAGCTGCGCACCCCACTCACGGGGACGGCCAACGAGGGTGGGAGATGGCAGGAGTGGGCAGCAAGAGTGAGGTGGCCTGAAGTACACATAAAGCAGGCGGGCAGACCCAGGAAGTCACGGAGTTGGCTACTAGAGCCTCTGGCAAGGCTTATTGTGTGGCACAGAAGTAAAGATGTGTTGGGGATCCTCCTATGCTTTGGTCCCCACAGTCCTGCACTTACCAACCCTACCCTGTCCTTGTCTTTATAGGCACAATGTCATGGGGGACATGATTCACACAGTTTCTAAGTTCCCTCCACTCCTACACCCTGGCTTCCTGCCCACTGACTCAGGGTATGGTGATTGGCTTACCTTGGTCAAAAGAAGGGGACTTGGACAGCACAGACCCCGGGCAGCCAGAGGCCTTCCATACCTGCACTCAAGCGCTCTATCTAGTGATGGATTCTTGGACTTCTGACTTGCCCTGTAAGTGGCCCCAAGCTGGAACCCACCCAGAAGCCTGAAGAGCTCCACGATCCCCCAGAGAATCTACAGACCTATGAGCCAGAAATAAAGATTTGTTGTTATAACCTTTGAGATACAGTCCTATCATCAGAAAGCGGAAGACAGAAGTAACAGCTGGTCTATGTTAAAGAGAATAAGAATCATATTAATGATGGCTGAGGTTTATTGAGCATCACTGTGAATGAGCCACTGTTCTAAGTGTTTAAATGAATTGTACTCAATTATCAGAATCATCCTGGGAGCCACAGAGAGGGTAAGGAACTTGCCTGAGACTACACAGCAAAAACTGTGGAGTTTCCGGGCTGTGGGTGGTGGTGGCGCATGCCTTTAATCCCAGCACTCAGGAGACAGAGGCAGGCGGATCTCCGTGAGTTCCAGGTCATCCTGGTCTACAGAGCAAGTTCCAGGACAGCCAAGGCTACACAGAGAAACCCTGTTCCAAAAAAAACAAAACAAAAACAAAAAAAGAGGAAGGAAGGGAGGAAGGAAGGAAGGAAGGAGGGAGGGAGGGAGGGAGGGAGGGGGGAGGGAGGAGGGAGGGAGGAAGGAAGGAAGGAAGGAAGGAAGGAAGGAAGGAAGGAAGGAAGGAAGGAAGGAAGGAGGGAAGGGTGAAGTCACCCTTAAATCCAGGTAACTAGCCTCAGGAAAAAAACAAGCCAATACATAAAAGCCCACAGATGTCCTGTGAGATGTCCTCTGAGATGACCTCTTCACTATGAAGTGCCTAAAAAAGTAAGCCCAGGGAATTGGTCACTCTCTGTATACATTCCAGCTGAGACCAGTCCTTTATACAGAACCCCACAAAAGATGGATGGCATGCACCCTAGAACCACCAGAAGTCAGGCCTTTCTAGATACCCTGGCTACCTCACACATGAACTTCTTCCCACCCTGCCTGTGAAGTTGATCTCATCCTCTTAAGTCCCTTCCTCCTTGGGGTTCTGGAACTCAGTCTGTCCCCAGCGGACTCTCTACACCCACAGTGCCTCTCTCTAAATCTCTCCCATTTCCTTCATACCTGGGACCTGGCTGTGCCCCAAGGGTGCTATCTGCCCCATGGCTCTCTCCAGATGAATCTTTTGCCTCTGCACCCCCAGGGTTCCGAGGTCAGGAGCCTGCCCTTCCTCAGTGCTGTTAGAAAGTGACTTTGAAGCAGGTGCTAGCCCGTCATCCCAGCTACTGGGCTGATGTCACCCAGGCAACTGAATCTGTCTCAAAGCAAAAAAGTAAGAGGAGGATTGGAGCTGTAGCTTCCAGGTAGAGTGCCTAGAGCACATTCTAGATCAACAGCTGTCAATCAATGACCTGTTCACAGGGACCACCTACGACCATCGGAAAACGCAGATGCTTACATTACAGTTCATAACAGGAGCAAAATCACAGTTATGAAGTAGCAAAGAAAATAATTTTATGGCTGTGGGTCACCACTACATGGGGAACTGTATTAAAGGGTTGCAGCATCAGGAAGGCTGAGAAGCCCTGCTCTAGACCCTAGGTTCAACCCACAGCATTACATGTAAATAAATAATAAATATTTTAAAATAACACGTCCCATTCATATTCCAGACTGGAGGAGAAGAAAAGAAGCAGGAAAGGGAACTTGTGTCAACAGTGTTCAGCGTGTTTCTCTTTCCAGAACACTGCACGTCTTGGTCGTTTTCATCTGAGAGGCATCCTCCTAGAGTGGTGTTTAATTCAGCCACTCCATCGACCTGTCAGACAAACTCGAGTTCTGTTGGTGAGAAAGAAACACACTGGGTGGTGGGAGGCAGAGGCAGACAAATCTCTGTGAGTTCAAGACCAGCCTGATGTACAGAACGAGTTCCAGGACAGCAAGGAGTATTGAGAGAAACCCTGTCTCAAAACACACACACACACACACACACACACACACACACACACACACACACACACACACACCACCACCACCACCACCACCAGCAGCAGCAGCAGCAGCAGCAGCAGCAGCAGCAGCAGCAGCAGCAGCAGCAGCAGCAGAAGTAGATACTGGATAAGCAAAGCTCGACCCGGTTCCTCCCAGGAACATATTGAAAATACATCTTTTCTCTCCTGATCCATCACTTTCTCTCTTCTGGAATCTTCCATGAACATTCCAGCACTCACTCAATAGCATCCTATTTTAAAAATCTCCAGGCTGGTGAGATGGCTTCTGGGGAGAAAGCACTTGCCAGCATGCCTGACGAGCAGAGCCTGATCCTCAGAACCAATGTGGCGGAATTGCTCACTCCTGTAAGTTGTCTTCTGGTCACCACACCTGTGCTGGGACATGGGTACAGCCCTGTCAACCCCCTCTCACACACAAATAAAGATAAAAATGATTTGAAATAGAATTAAATACTTCGTTTGTTCTCATACTAACTTCTACCTACTAAACCACATCTCCTAGCTGGCTCCTGGTTGGTTTTTTGTTTTTTGTTTTTTTGTTTTGTTTTGTTTGTCAATCCCTGACACAAGTTAGAGTTTCAGAAGAGGAAAACACAATTGAGAAAATGCATACGTAAGAGAGAATACAGGCAAGCCTGTGGGACATTTTCTGAATTAGTGATTGATGGGGAGGGTCCAGCCCATGGTGGGCGGTGCCATCCCTGGGCTGGTGGTCCTGGGTTCTATAAGAAAGCAGGCTGAGTAAACCATGAAGAGCGAGCCAGTGAGCAGCACCCTCCATGGCCTCTGCCTCAGCTCCTGCCTCCAGGTTCCTGCCTTGAGTTGCCCTGACTTCCTTCATGATGGGCTGGGATGTGGAAGTGTAAGATGAAGTACACCTTTCCTCTCGGGGTGTTTTATCACAGTTATAGAAACCCTAAGACACCATCCCAGAGACAGTTCTGCAAAGAGTTGTTTATGAGCACACAGCCCACTTACCTCAGAGCCCGTTCCTCCGCAGCCTCGGCCTCATCAGTCTTCTGTCCCTAAGAGACAAGATTCCCGGTCACGGCTGAGCTGTCAGGTGCAGTTCCCGATTTTCTCCTTTCTTCCTTCCACACTCTTGTTCATCTTGTTGACCATTTGCCCTCATCTCGGTTCTGAGGCACTCTGTTCTTCATTTTCCCCCACATCACCAACTAATTGTCTCCTTCCTCGGACCTCCTTTCCTACGGATCCCTAACCCTCTGGCTGTGGAGGGCCCAGCCTCCCTGACTTCTCTCCTCTGAGATCTTCCCCCCTGTGTTATGGCTCCTTTGCACGCCCTGGATTAAAAGCCTTTCTCCAGTGAGTATTCTCTCCCTCCCCCTCCTTACTGGGGCAGAGTACATCTCCTTGTTCCCTGACCTTGGCTTGTGACTTACTCTGACCATGTGAGAGAATGGGACATGAGAGCTTTTGCCCCACCTCAAGGGCAGTAGGTTGCCATGGTCCTTTCTTGGTTCCTTGATTCCTTGCTGGTCCAAGGCAATCAAAGAGCTCTTAAGAGTGGACTGGGACACAGCACCCAGCCTGAGAGCAAGGGTGAATAGCCTGTGGCCTGAAGTAGCAATGCCCCAGACACCCCAGATTGCTGAAGAAAGCAAAGAGCCCCTGTGGCTTTGGGTGGTTTCTTCTATGGCATCCCTAGGTCATCCTGGCTTAGGTTAAGGGTACCGTGGGGTAGAACTCCTCAGTTGGATCCAGGCAAATTGTATGGTGACTCAAAACATGGTAGGGATTGTGGGATGGGGAAAAAGGAACAGAGTCGGGAGGGATAATTGGATTATCGCAAGCAGGGCTTGCTTGCAGATGGGTTGTGAGTGGTATAAGAGGATCGTGTAGCAGTCCTGTGCTCTGAACTTTAGAGCAGGATAAACTGGTCTTGCTTACTAACTGGAGTCTCTTGGGAGTGTGGCAGATAATCTTGGTCGTCATTGACACATCTGGGAAGAGGGGCTTGTGGGCATAACTGTGGGGTGTTTTCTTGAGTGTTAACTGATGTAGGAGGGCCCAGCCTACGCAGGAGGCACTGCCCTTAGGGAGGTGCTCCAGGGGTGCGGAGGGAAGGCACCGGTTGAGGTAAGCATTGCTCTTCTCTTGGGCTGCTTCAAGCTCCTGCCTTGAGTTCCTGGTCACACCTGCAACCCCAGCACTTGGGAGACAGGCAGGAGGACAAGGAGCCGAGGTCATCCTTGGTTACACAGCCTGAGCTACACAAGACTCTGTAAGGAAACAAACAAAAATCTAAAACAGCAGCATGAAGGCTGGAGACCAAGCTCTCGGAACACAAGCCTGACGGCCACCATCAAATATCCGCCGTCCAAATCTGCCTCATTTCCTAATCATTTGTTAAACTTGGTTGGTCTGAATGAAGATCCAAAGCAGAACCACACAAAACATCTCTCTGGTTACTCTGGCTTCAGTCTTTTTTAATCTGGAGAGTTCTTCTCCTCCCTAAGTCCCCTGCCCCTCTCTTTCCAAAGCCAGACAGCTCTGTGAGCTCACCCCATCTCCGTGAGTTCACCCCATCTCTGAGAGTTCACCCCATCTCTGAGAGCTCACCCCATCTCTGTGAGCTCACCCCATCTCCGTGAGTTCACCCCATCTCTGGGAGCTCACCCCATCTCCGTGAGTTCACCCCATCTCTGGGAGCTCACCCCATCTCTGGGGGCCCACCCCATCTCTGGGGGCCCACCCCATCTCTGGGAGCTCACCCCATCTCTGTGAGCCCACCCCATCTCTGGGAGCTCACCCCATCTCTGTGAGCCCACCCCATCTCTGGGAGCCCACCCCATCTCTGGGAGCTCACCCCATCTCTGTGAGCCCACCCCATCTCTGTGAGCTCACCCCATCTCTGTGAGTTCACCCCATCTCTGGGAGCCCATCCCCATCATCTCTGGGAGCCCACCCCATCTCTGTGAGCCCACCCCATCTCTGGGAGTCCACCCCCCATCTCTGGGGGCCCACCCCCATCTCTGGGAGCCCACCCCCCATCTCTGGGGGCCCACCCCCTTGCCCTATAGAAACCTTCTCTTCGGCCGGTCTCAGGATCTATGAGTTGGCAGCTGAGTCTAAAAGATCCGATTCAGGTTTACAGCTTTGACAGGAACAGCGTGTGGGAGGTGGTGTGCCCTTTCTGTACCTGCACTTTGGGGTTCACAGACACAGATGTGTCTGTTACTAAGGAGACTTCAGGGCTCAGGTACCGCCGGCTGCATCAGTTGCTCTTAGCAGCTGTTTCTTATTGGTTTTAATATTAGCTGGTGATCATCACCAAAACTGACTTGGTTTTTTCCTCATGGGCTGTAAGATGCTCACATCAAGTTCCATCATCCTGGCTGCTTGTCTCAGCTAGAGTTCTGTAGGAATAGTTCCTAGGCACTGTATCATTGCTTTGAAGTAGGATCACACAGGAAAGGTGTGCTGTGGAGGTCATGGGACAACCTTGGATGTCAGACCTTTCCTGCCACCTTGATTGTCTTCCATGACACGATCTGTGTGCCCCAGGCTTGCCGGCTCAGAAGTCTTTGGGGGTCCTGTCTCCACCCCCCATCTCACTGCAAGATCACTGGGATTCCAGAAATGTATCCAACTCTATAGAGGTTCTGGGGATCCGAACTCAGTTCCTCCCAGCTTTATCCACCAAGCCACCTTCCAGCAACACCCACTCCCCGGTAATTTTGTTGTTGTTGTTGTTGTTGGCAACTGAAACTCAGTCTTTATTGTGAAGATTTATATTAGCTGGGGTAGAAGTCAAACTCTGTTAATGCTTGCTGAAGCCATACTAACCACAGCTGCTGGTGAGGAGGGGAGGCGAGGAAGGGCGCTTTCCATCATATTCAGTCATCTCGTGTGCCAGTGTCTGTGACTTGGCACAAATATGTGTTCTTTGTGGCGTCTTTTCCCCCTTGAGTGACACAGAGACCAGGCATGGGCTGGAGCGCCATTCCCTCCCCCAGGGCTCTGGGGCAAGCCCGGGGAAGAAGTCCTCGTCCTGGAGTGTAGGCTTTTGTTATGGAAACAGCTCTGGACATATTTTACAACGATGAGTCTTCTCTGCTACAGCCATAAAGGGGCCGTTCTCAGATCTTAACCGTGAGAACCTGGTGGGGTTACTGGCAGGGCAGTGCTGAAGACTGGGTCACCAGGAGCTTCTCCCTCCTGCAGGGGTTCCCACTGTTCATGCTGAACCCCAGCAATTCATGGAAACCACCATTCATGTCTTCCTGGCAGTTCACAGGGCTTCTGCACCATCTGTCCTGGGGCAGAGCTCTTGGCTCCAGGCCTCTCTGGAGCATCCTGCTCCTCCATATTTTAGGGTGCTTGGTCCTGCGACGTCAGCCTCCAAGTGGTCCAAACACTCATTGCTTTTCAGCTTGTCAGATTTCTCTGGTCGTCAGTATAGGAGCGACTTTTCCTCCACTCAAAGGTTGAAATAGCAAGTTGATTCTCTTATTTCATGCAGCTTTTTCTTTTCATTTTTTTTTTTAAAGAAAGCAGGTAACACATTTACATGTTTCCCAAACCAAATCTGTAAAACAATGTCTACTAAGAAAGATTTAATATTTTAATTCTTGTCCCAAATATCCTACATTTTCCTTCCCTATAGGAACCATTTCTTAACACACACACACACACACACACACACACACACACACACACACACACACACACACATCACTTTATCTTCCCATTATTGATAATTGTTAGATAACCACTCATATAATTATGACGTAAAAAGGTTGTGGATCCACTCTAGGAGCCCGTGTCTTAGGAAGCTGAGTTGGGTGGGGAGGGGTCGTTGTCAGTTAAAATAATCATGGGTCTGGAGAGAAGGCTCGGTGAGCAAAGGCACTTATGGTCAAGGCTGACTTGAGTTCCATCGCTGGGACCCATGACGTGGAAGGAGAGAACTGACTTCAGAGAGCTGGCCTCTG